AAATTTTGGCGTCTCCCAGAAAGAGTATTTCTATTAGGCATAATAACAACCGATGCTAGACTTTTTCCATTCTGGTGAAGTAAGCAAACCCGTGAACGCTGCTATAATATACAGGGTAAAAAGGTGACTCTGAAGGCAACCATAACCATTTATAAAATGAAGCATTACAAAAAAATAAAAGGAAAGGAAGGTTTACCTGCAGGCTTTGAACTAAACACTCAGAGGGTGCTGCTGGGAGATCTGCTTGTTCAACTTCACTGACAAGGGCGGTCATTCCCTAGTCCCTTTCAAAAGTTCAAGTTCTGATGCATGTCTGCACCGTGGGCTCTGCTGGAAGGGGTGTGGTGAAGCCAGGGAGTACAACTGACGATGCTCTCATTCACAGGCTGACCTTGGCCTTGAGGTTCCTCTGTACTTCATTCCAGCCCGATGCCAATACAGGATCCGTACTAACAAAGCACGGGATGTCCACGGGTGGCTAAAGCTGACAGGGGAGAGACTGAGGGTGCATGGTAGTTCCTTAGTCTATCGACTTTCAGGCACTGGCATCGGGCGACCCTTTCAGCCTGATCATCTCCTATTCCTTTCGCCTGAAGTGACCTTCCTTACTTTGTTACTTTGGGAAATCCCACTCAGCCTTCCCTTAGAGAATCTGTTGACACTTGTATTATAAAGGAGGATGGCAGTTAATACAAATGAATCTGTAAAGTGCGGGACTCCTGGCAGTCTGTGAGCCAGAAGCCAGTGTTTTAATCGTTTTGGGGAAATATTTGGTATGCCTCGATCCTCAGGTCTAAGAAGTAAGTGGTTGGTTGGGTGGGATTTGCTTTATAAATCAGCAAAAACACTTCTAATTGCCAAAAGAGGATCCAATTATCTTGTGTGTTTTTATAACAATTATTATGGTCCTAGGATGTTTAACTGCAACATTGTTTATGGTGGCAGAAAATAGAAAATAACCCAAATGTCCATGACAGGGGATGACAAAGCAACACTAGGTGCTTTAATGCTCTCAAATGAAAAGAAATTAGATGTCAGATAGCCATCTGTCCTCTGTCTTAGAAAGCTGTTTAAGATATATTTCTGAATGAAAAGCAAAATAGAAAAATAACATATCGTAGGAAATGACATGTAAGAACAACCTCCCAAATTAATTTTGTATATGTCTTCTTGGCATAATTTTTTGCTGACAAATGCAAAGTGTCTGGAAGCAGGCATACCGAAAGATCACAGTTGTGCAGGAAAAGGGGGCAGGAGAGAGGGTAATGATCTAAATTGTTTTTTAAACAGAAAACATCTGTATATATTTCTTTTGCAATTACATATTTTTAAGTGAAAAGCTCAATGTTCGATGGCAGCTCTAAAGCGGTTACAATATTTAATATGAAGTCTGTGATTATGAAATGCCGCTGAGTCCACACACAGCCAAGGGGGCTTCCGGGGTGGGGGCGGGCTGGAGGAACACTGCATTTTTTTTTTTTTCCCAATTTCATCTATACTTTACTTCTTGCCAACTTTTGAGTTAGCTACAGACCCAGTAAATAGGAATTTGATGGGATGAGGCCTTCTTTGAAGATACTTTCAGGGACCGGTACCAGCTAAAGGTCTTCTTGTTCTTACTGCAGAATGTACAGGGAGGCGATATGCCCACCAGTGAGGTGATGATTCACACGCTTCTCCTGCGCTTTAGCCCACAGAGCCCCATGCGAGTGATCACTCTCCACCCAGGAGCACCTTGGTTTTGAGATCAAGGCAATTATCCTTCCTGCTGATGGCTGGAATTTATCAAATCTCTTTACACAAGCTCCTCACTGACGCAGATGCTTTTCTAGAAAGAGTCTGAATAGAATAGATGAAACCAGTAGGTAACTTAACTTTGGGGTCAGACACTGTCACCTAACACTTATATGAACAACACTCCAGGAGTGGAGGGGAGCCCTAGGGAATAATGCCTGTGATTCTGTGATTAATAAACATCACTGCAAGACGCCTGGGTGGCTCAGTCGGTTAAGCAACTGCCTTTGGCTCAGGTTATGATCCCCGAGTGCTGGGATCGAGTCCCGCATTGGGCTCCCAGCTCCACGGGGAATCTGCTTCTCCCTCTGACCTTCTCCCCTCTCACGCTCTCTCTCAAATAAATAAACAAAATCTTTTAAAAAAAATAAGTTGCCTTGACAAACATTTATCTACCTGGACACTTATTGCTGAATTACATTTTTAATTGAAATTTTAATAGGGCATAGATGAAAAAAATCCCACTGGATAGGTTATTTATTATGATTTAATCATTTCTGATGTTTTATTTTATAGGAGCCAGAGTTTACTCGAATTTCACATACTAAGTTTATCAAAGGAATGGGGAACCTTATTTAAGCGTAGCCTAAAATGTGTGTGTGTGTGTGTGCGTGTGCGAGTGTGTGTGTGTGTGTATTCTCAATATACTGAAGAGAGAGGGTCACTGCCTATACTCTGCCTTGCTCCAGTGACTTTAGTAGCATGTGGAATAATTTAGACCCCTCTGTACTGGGACCTCCCTTTATCAATACCAAAGAGAAAATGATATAACTTCCTTGACTGAGTTAGTGGAAAAAAAAAAATCAATTCAGAAACTGGTGTTAGGGGTTCCCAGTGCCCCCCACAATGTCTAAACATGCTGGTGTGTGCAAGTAATATCACTCGGCCCTCTGGCACTCCCTCACCGTTAAGGGTACTCGTTTCAGCAGCTCCTTTCCTGGTTTTCCCATGGGCTGCATTCTGAAGGCCTCACCGACCCACCGCTGTAAAAATGCCATTCGTAGTTTTCTCAGGTTTTATGTTATGGTGCAAATAAATCACAACTTATCCCTATATTCTAAAGTTCTGGGAATCCCTAACCTCAGAGATAAGAACACTTGATGGTACAAGTCTGTGTTGTTTCCTCTCTGTTTTTCCTGCAGCTGTCATGAGAAACGAGAAGAGAAATTTTCAAGCAGGACAGGCCTCCTGGTGAGGCGTCCCCCACCGCCCCACTTTCCGTCCTTAGTTCCTTTCTTTTTCATGGTTTAAGATCAGGATTTTCAAATGTGCACACGTGAGAGCGAAGAGTATAATGAATACCCCTGCTCCCCACTAATTCACTTTCAAAGATTTTCAATAGCTGTTTTTTAACATTTTAAAACAAATGTCACACATCATGTATCTTTAAAAGGTTTCGGGGTAGCTGGGTGGCTCAGTCAGTTAAGCGTCTGCCTTTGGATCATGTCATGATCCCAGGGTTCTAGGATGGAGCCCAGAGTCCATCTTCTGCTCAGCAGGGAGCCTGCTTCTCCCTCTGCCGGTTCTGCCTGTTGCTCTGCCTGCTTGTGTACACACGTGCTCTCTCTCTCTCTCTCTGTGATAAATAAATAAATAAATAAATAAGGTTTCTTTTTAGCCAGACCAAAATACCATTATCACACACAAATATATAACTATATTTAGTTAATACAATAAATATAATATAAATATTTAGGCTTAGATATAACGTCATCTATCACCTGTGATAGGTTTATGTGTCAGTGTGACTCTGCCACGGGTGCTCAGGTATTTGGTCAAACATGATTCAGAGTGGTTCTGTGAGGCTTGTTTTTGATGCCCTTAGCATGCAAACTAGTAGACAGCATAAAGCCGATTGCTCTCCCAATGTCCACTATGTTGGAAGGCCTCAAGAGGAGCAAAAGGCTTACCCTTTTGTGAGCAAGAGGGAATTCTTTGGCCTGATTGTCTTCCAACTAGAAATTCACCTTTTCTCTGCCTTCACACTCCTGCTGCAACACTGGCTCCTGCTAGATTTGAGCCTCTGGCCTTTAGACAGAACTACACCATCAGCTTTCCTGGTTCTGACTTGGACCAGAAACAAACCTTCAGCTCCCCTTGGCGTCCAGTTTCCCAAGTCACTTTGCAGATCTTGGGACTTGGACTTGCCACTTCCATAATCTGTGATCCAATTCCTTATAGTGAATATACGTATCTCTCTATCTATTATCTCTATATGTCTATATGGTCTCCTATTGGATCTCTTTCTCTGGGGATCCCTGATGAATACATCACCTAATTACCAGACCATCTTCCATTTCTCCAAAGGGCTCCAAGATGTCTTTTTACATTCTGCCTGAATTAGAATCCAAGTAAGTCCACATAATATTTTTAAAGTCAATAAACATCAACTCCACTTGTGGAAAAGTCACAGAATGCTTTCTCTTTTATGGTATTTCTTTTTTTTTTTTAAGAATTTATTTATTTATTTGACAGAGAGAGACCACAAGTAGGCAGAGAGGTAGGCAGAGAGAGAGAGAGAGGAAGGGAAGCAGGCTCCCTGCTGAGTAGAGAGCCAGATTCGGGACTTGATCCCAGGACCCTGAGATCATGACCTGAGCCGAAGGCAGAGGATTAACCCACTGAGCCACCTAGGCGCCCTATGGTATTTCTTAAATAATATTGGATAAGTCCTACAATGCAAAACATTAAACAAACTTTTAGAATCTGATTTCCTATTTATAAAGACCAGAATGTATGCCTTAAACATGTCAAGACTGGACATAGGAAGAAAATGAAACATGTCTCAACTAATAGCAGTATACTCTTGAAAAGTCAATGAGCTTCTCTGTTCGCTCTAGCTTCCGCATCTATAAAATAGGAAATGCAACTATGAAATATTTACTCGGCCTTCTTCACAGAGATGCAGTGAGGGGGAAAGGTAGCTTCACAGAAATAGTTCTGAAATCAAGTATCAAAAAGTGAAGAAATTTATAGATTATCATCATCATCATCCTCCAAGGAACCTGTTTTGTTTCTTTATTTACAACTGAGGTCTTCTTTTCAGATGAAAATTGCACTATTAATACATATCTGTGCTGCATTACTAACATGAACTCACACATTGTGCTGTAGTGAAAAAGCCCAGGTCTTCGATCAGACATAATTCTGTAAGTTTAACACCAGCTGAAATCAGACCTCTCCAGGTCGCCATCGCAGTCACTCACCCAGTACTGTTGAGATAACTCTGTCCTAAGCTGCAGTCCTTTGACAGAGAAGACGGGTTGAACCAAAATGCTGGCAGACACTGACCATTGCTGTGTCGCTCATACCCATAGTCACTGTGGGGGAAAGAGCCAAGAGAGACCGTCAGTAGGTGGCAAAATCACTAGAACAGTTTCATGGTAGCACACAGCCAACTTCTCTAGTCAATTAGTCAAACAAGATTCACTGAATCAATACCTTTCCAAAAATTGAACAGTTTTTTCTCCCTGTGGAATATCCGTTAATTACCCATGACAATACCCTACATTTCCAGAAAAGCTGACTTGAAAGCAACAGAGAACCCTGTGTAGAGACAGAGGCTCGTGACCAATAATTCCAAGTAACTGTCTTTAAGCTGAGAGAGCAGATGATGTTCTCGTGAGGAGAATACACAATACTGATGGTGGTTGGGCCCCAAGAAAGCTGCAGTTAGAAAACAGGCAATGGGGGCTCCTGGGTGGCTCAGAGGCTTAAGCCTGTGCCTTTGGCTCGGGTCATGATCTCAGTGTCCTGGGACTGAGCCCCAGATCGGGCTCTCTGCTCAGCAGGGACCCTGCTTCCCCCCTTCTCTCTGCCTGCTTGTGATCTCTCTCTCTCTCTGTCAAATAAATAAATAAAATCTTTAAAAAAAAAAAAAAGGAAAGAAAGCAGGCAATGGTGGAGGCTTAAGCCTCAGTGTACATCACTGACGCAAACACAGCCACACATGGCACAATTGTCATTACTGGTGATGTCTTTGGGGTGCTCTTCCAAGACATCTGGGTCTACCAAGCAGAGCTGAGCCAGGTCTCTCTGGGCACACTCCAGATGCTTCAGAGTCACCGCAGAAAAGGAAATGTCCTTCAGGGGTGTCATGAGCACTCCCCTGAGGAAAAGTTTTTTTTTTTTCCCAGTCAGTTAGCATCATCCCAGTTAGTTGGGACTAACGGCTTTAAATCCTCTCCGTAGTTTGGAAAGAGTCAAAGACTTTTCTCTCCCTCTCCTCTCTTTCTTGCCTCCAGGGGCCTCCACATGGCCTGATAGTCTTGGCTTCTGGAGGATGAACTTGGGCACAGAGGACGACGACAAATTGCACCTCCACAGGTACAGACAAATCAGTAACCATTCGCATCAGTACGAATTGGCCCATCTGCGTAATGGAGGTGAGATGCTGGCACACGAGGGGCGGGAAGGGAGAAACAGGCTAAGCAGCCAAGGGGCCTGTCACCAGGCAGCTGGCACTTAGAATTCTGCACATATCAGCTGGATTTGGTGCTGGTTCAACACAGCATGGATAGGAAGACTTCAGAAATGCTGCCTACAGGACACCCGGTGTTCGTTTCTGGGAATTATTTTACAAATGCCGAAGAATGGAAGGCAAGGTCATCTGGGGGACTGTCCAGGGGAGAGCCAAGCTGAGAGGGAACATTTAGTGACAACCACCTTTTATTATGCTGCAGTCAAGTGGAATCACGGAAGCTCTAGCTATGGGTAGAGACTCAACAAGGTCATGGTGGGTCTTCCAAAATATTTTTAGAAATCATGCCGTAAACAAAAATCCCATTTAACCAGAAAAACTTACAATGGCCTCATTTATGATTCATTACCCACTTCTCAGAATACATTTCAGTTAGTGGCACGAGTAGCAGATTCCAATCACAAATGAATGCAAGAACTGGGCCAAGACTGTAGGGGAGTGAGGGAGAAAGGAAGGGAGAAGCCTAATTGCCTTCCTTACCCTATGGTCCTTTCACTCTAGACTAAAACTTAAAACTGAGAACTGAAAAAGAAAACAAGACATGACAACGACAACAATAAAAGACTAGCTTATTTTGGAACCTTGTAGAAAAGATGCCCCCTGAACAGTATTTTCAGGAAAATTCAGGGAATCGGGACGTCTCATCTCACTTTTTCTCTTTGCTTTTCTACCAGCATAAATTTGCTCTTTACAGAAGGATGACTACGTGCTAAGGCTGAAGTTAAATGACCAAGATAAAACGTTAACTTCCTTTACAAGCCCTCCTTGAATAGAGGGGATAAAGGAGAAGCAGTCAGAAAGAGGGATGGTTTTTAAAATTCCATGGACGTTTCCTCAGTGACTATATTTCAAGATGTCAGTCCTGAAAGGTAGGGCGGGGATAGGATACTTCTATCATTGTTAATAACGGTGTACTGGCTAACACAGAAGTTACAGCTGGAGAGGCCCCTGCAGATTTCCTTGTGAACTCCAATGTAACTGAATTTCCGTTGGCCGCTGGCTGAGCCCAAGATTACGGCACTGGCTCTTGGCTTGCCTTGTTTACCAACAAGAGGGCAACAGACTTGGGTTATCAGACTGAGGGCTGGTGGCCAATTCCGGCAGGCCTGCACCGGACCATTTATTCAGACAATGTCTCCAGAGGTTTACCACGAGAGAAGACTTACTTTTTCTGAGCCATACGGTGTGTACACAGCTATGTGGTGTGTACCCAGCCCAGTCACTGATATTTTGATGATCAGATAAGTGATCTGTGATTGCTATACGGGCAGATATCTGATATTAAAGAAATGACTTTGGTTTCTTATGTGGGCCAAGTTTCAATCACTTAACACTGACATCTATATTCAACAATCGCTGAATATATATGTTTATATATATAAATCTAAAGAAAAATAAAGAGAAGAAGAAAAAAATAAATGAGATGGATATGATGAAGGGAGTTACCACCTACTTATCCTCGATCATTTCCAGTCTCACTTGAAGGCCAAACCAGAACAGAGCAAGGGCAGCACTGACCCCACAGGCTAGCTTTCCGCTTACCAAATGCTTCGGAAAGAATGCTATGGTGCTCAAATGTCTCAGTCCTTTCCAGTTTATACTAGCTGAATCCTGGAAAAGGGAGAAGTCTTCTGTACCGCCAGCTCCACAGAACCACAGATGGCCAATGCCACTGAATCAACCCTTGCGCTGAAGTCAGAAAAGTCTTCCATACCTTGCACAAGCAATCATCAGCTAACTAACCACTGACTGAAAACTCCCCGGGACAGCAAATCTACTGCCTTATAAGGTCATTGTTCCACCACTAGGAACCTAAACTCTAGGAGGTCTTTACCTTGCGCCCAAATATATTTGCTGTCTGAGAAGTCAACTTACTGTTTTCAGTTCTGTTGTCTGATGCAACTCAGGGTGGATGTGGTCTCTTTTTTTGTCCTGAGATCTATCAACTATGTGAAGCTAGTTATCAGCCATCTTATTAATCTTCTTTCAGTCCAAAGAAACTTCTAGTTTTTCCATATACATATGCCCATAGCTAATAAACCATGTTGTCTTCAAGGGGTAATTTCATAAGAATATGAGACTTGTGACAGCATATATATATATATATATACATATATATATATATATGCTACTATTATTTCAAATCTTGGCTTTCATTAAGACGCACATGGATTTGATACATGGAATGACCCCATGGAGTGAGCACAAGCTTACCAGTCAAAATCAGCCTCTGTGCAGACACAGGGTTCAGATTCCATAGCTCCTGCATACTTCCCTTGCATACACTTACGCTCTGATTTTCGTTTCTTGTATATCCTTTTTGCTCCCATGATGCATGCTTCCCCCTGTAAGGAGACAAAGGATCCCAGGCAGTTGGGTACATAGCTTGGACCCTCCCTGCTCCACATCAAGACACTCGGGGAGATGTTCCCAAGCCTTAGTGTAATCTGGACACAGGTAGCCTGCTTTGTCCTAACAGCATTTTACTTTTTTTTAACAGCATTTTACTTTTGATGTCTAGAAACCTAGTGTAGAGTGCAACTGTAAAGACAATTCTAAGAAGCTTGGAGGGTGTGTCAAAAAACATCCTTAACTCCTCATGTATTTGGCAAACCTTTGCTTGGCAAGGTATGAGACTCCATGCTACAAGGGACACACAGACAACTCAGACTCAGCTTTTAACGAATAAATGTACTGCCGACAAATCTATGGTAATTAAGTTCAATTCTTCTATAATAAAAGATTTATGCACCTGGTCATTTACGAGCATATGAAAGAAGAGTATTGCTAAGAAATATAAAGATCCATTTTGCCTCAATTTATTGTGCCTCTGCCCACACGACTTTATAGCACGGACTTTATGTCTATCTACCAGACAAGTGAGAGAACTAAACTCAGTGTTTCTCTACAAAATAAATAAAAGCTTTGAATACCACAGTGCCTGTGGATCCCAAAGGGGAAAATAACAGCAATGTAAATGAGCAATGATTTTATTGTTGAGTCTCCAAAAAAGAGTATATGATTTTGGCGGATGCAGCCCCAGCTGTCAAACACAGCTATGTGTCTGAAGGACAGAAAAGAGTTTTGTCCCTTGAGCAAATTCCTTTTAATTGGCTCCATCTCATATACACATCTAGATGTAAATATATTCCAGCTGACCCTTGAGCAATGCGGGAGTTACAGGTTCTAACCCTCTCACACAGCCAAAAATCCATATAATTTCGACTCCCCCAAAACTTAACTACTAATAGCTTACCACAGACTGGAAGCCTTCCTGACAACGTAAATAGCCAATGAACCACAGATTTTGTATGTTACATGTATTACATGCTGTACTCTTACAATAAAGTAAGCCAGAGAAAAGAAAATGTTATTAAGAACAATCATAAGGAGGAGGGGCGCCTGGGTGGGTCAGTGGGTTAAAGCCTCTGCCTTCGGCTCAGGTCATGATCCCAGGGTTCTGGGATCGAGCCCCACATAGGGCTGTCTGCTCCGCAGGGAGCCTGCTTCCTCTTCTCTCTCTCTCTGCCTGCCTCTCTGCCTACTTGTGATCTCTGTCTGTCAAATAAATAAATAAATTCTTTAAAAAAAAAAAAAGAAAATCATAAGGAGGAGAAAATGTATTTAGAGCACTGGACTACACTTATTGAAAAAAAATTTGCATGTGGTGGACCTGTGCAGTTCAAACCCATGTGGTTCAAGGATCCAGTGTACTTAGTCTAAGTTTGGGGATACGATGTGTCACTGCTTGACTATAGTGATGGCTATGCAGGGAGACCCACTGTCCCTCCTTGGAGGAACCTGCAGAATGACTTCCACATTGGGAAATCAAAGGAGAGATGCTTTCAGCTACAAGCTGATCAGTTGAGGACCCAGAATGAAGGAACGCTTCCTATTAATGATTCTGCGTCCTTGTACCCTGAGTACCTTGCAAGGAGGCAAGAAGCACCACCTAATCCCAAGGAATCGCAGGGTGACAGGGAAGGATTTGACTGGCACCGCTCACCGAGGGTAATTTTATTATTTTATGTCTCTGTTTGCATTGCTCGATAAAACTGAAGATCCTTTCCTCACCCCTGCCCCTACCCTGCACCCACACGACGTGCTCAGATAAATTCTGTTTGGATCTGCGTGCTGAGTTGGTATTTCATTTTGAGTTGTAAGTCTAAGCCAAGCACACTTGAATTTTATCTCATTATATCCTAGTACAATAAAAAAAGAAATTACTTCACAACAAGCCATAAGTGTTGAGTTTGTTCACTGTTGTGGAACACAAAACATGTAAGAAATCAAGTCGATGTAGCTTTAGATGAAGCCAGAGAGGTAAGCTGTGGCCGTGAGGACCCCGATTCCTACACCTGCACGACAGACACCCCATGCCCTCCACCCAGGACTGCCCCTCAGCTCGGCAACCCCCTACCTGGCTGTGCAGCTGCCAGGGTCTGTAGTCTTCCTCGGCACACCGTCGGTCGAAAATGGACTTGTAGTCCACCTTGACCAGCTGCCATTCGGAGCGGTGGCTGAAGTGTCCAAACACGCTACAGGGTTCATAATGAGAAAAATAATCACAATCAGAGCAATGCCAGTCGCTAGCCTGTGCTGGGGGTTTACCGCGAGCTTAGCCCAACACTCAACACTTCACACTGAGCAGATCACTTAATCCCCAAAACACAGTGATGAGGAGGGTGACGGTTACTGGCTCTGAATCACCCATGGGTAATCTGAGGCTCAGAGCGTTTCGCTAACGTGCAAAAAAGAAAGTCAAATGACTAAGAACGGGTCCAGTCAGAGCCCAGAACCCAGGTGGAGTCTGACGAAAAACTCACTTCTGCCTATTTACCACAAGAATGGCTGACAAGGAAAAAAAAAAAAAAATTAAGGAAACGATCGCAAGCGCTGCCTTCAATGTGGTCCGGGATTACACACCTAGGTTCTCCTGCTAAGGTCCGTGGTTTCCACAGTTTCTGTGCTATTTCACTGTCCTGCCTGTCCCTGGGGAGGGTGGCCAGGAGGGCCTGATAGTGAGAACTGCGTCCCGCACTCTGCATTCTCTCCTTACTCAGACACACTCAGGTATCTAGTCACCAGTCAGAGCCAACTGTGGAGAAAAGCCACAAAGTAGCCTTTCCAGTCAGCTCTTTTTCATCTGCGTTCTGCAAATATGAAAACCGGATAAAGGGGGCACCTGGGTGGCTCAGTCGGTTAATAGTCTGCCTTCGGCTCAGGTCATGACACCAGGGTCCTGGGATCAAGTTCTGCATCAGGGTCCCTGCTTCTCCCCCTGCCTCTCATGAATAAATAAATAAAATACTGAAAAAAAAAAAAAAGAAAACTGAATAAAGGCAAATTACGGAACAAACAGCTCATCTGGCTCTGTGTTTGGTGGGCAAAAGTACAGCTAAGAAGCATACTAAATTTTTGTTGCTCTTTTCTATCATTAAAAGAAGGGACAAAAAATTAGAAAAAATTAAAAATAATACCAACTATTCATTGATTTTTAAATTTTCATTGATTCCAGGGTTGACTACTTTAAAACTTCTGTTTTCCATGTCCAATTTTCCAGGGGATGGGAAAAAAAACAAAAAAACAAAAAAAAACCCAAACCCTTCACAGTTTCATATTACAAATTCAAAGTTCATGTTTTGAAACCCTTAAGTAGGCAAGTCATTAATCAAGTCTTTCACAAATTAATGATCATCACTTTCCAGACAAGAATGAGTGCAAATATAATTTCACAAGAACAGATTGTTCTCATGGTTTTTCTAATATAACCTCACAAGTGGGTTAGGTAAAGAGCCAGGAAAAAAGAAAATCCTTTGTGGGGTTTTGATCAAGCTGTGTTCTGTCTTAAAGTGAAATCATTCTTAAATGCCTGTGATTTTCTGTATATTCAGTTAATTATTAAAGTTTTAAATTTATAGTTTTATTTTCTTTTGAAACAATCACGTCTCATTTCCCAGGCCCATTCAGTATAGGAAGAAATAAGTTGTGTCCTCTTGCCGCCAGCCCTCAGTATGGGTGTCCTAATTAGTAAAGAGCCAAGAAAATGGGAACCCACATTTTTCTTTCCCTTTTGCTGAGAAACAATGAAGTGAGATGTACTGACCATGCTGGCAATTTCAAATCTAACAGTAGTGAAGTGAGTAGGCTCTGCTAAAAACAATAGGTTTCCAGGGGGCACCTAGGTGGCTCAGTCCATTCGCTGTCTGAATCTTGATGTTGCCTTAGGTTGAGAGCTCATGGTTGTGAGATCGAGCCCCACATGGGGCTCTGTGCATGGCATGAGATCTGCTTCCTATTCTCTGCCTCTTCCCGCCACCACCCTCAGCCTCCCCGCCCGGCTCATGCTCTCTCGCTCTCTCAAATAAATGAATGAATCAAATCTTTAAAAAGAAAACAAAGAACAACATATTCCTGGATTTATATTATGATTAGAAGACATCATACTTTTCCACTTACGTCATGATTAGAGTCTCCTCCCCAGGCTCACCCAGAACCCCATCCACAAAAAGTGGAATAGATGTGAAACTGTACTTGCTCCAAGATCTCCCTTCATCAAAACTCAACCTAATGAAAGAAAAAAAATAATAGGCATCAGATCTCAAAAGGAAAAAAAAAAAGTCTTTTCAGAGGAAAGATACTATCAGCCAGGAGAGAATACGTTTTAAAAGTACCCGGGGCTCACTGTCAAAGTGAGCCTTTTATATGAATAAGTATTCTTAATTACATCAGAAGGTAGAAATACCGTTAGGCAAGCAATCTGGGACCCAGATGTGTTATAACAGCTATAAGGGGAGAGCTGTACGAAACGGGAATAATAATAAGTCTTTGATAGAATTTTTTTTTTAATTTGGATATTAGATCTTAGATCTCAATGTGACCCTCTCCCAAACCTCACTACAATCTAGCAGCAGGCCTTACTGGTGATTCTGAGGAGCAATGGCCTTATGAGACCTACTTAGATGGACTTGAACCAGCTGCCTCTAAGTGAGCAAATCCTGAGCGGCTTCCCTCCTCCTGTTATGAATGCTAGCTGACTCACGGAGGAGGCGGTACAGAAGCACTGGCTTCTGAGAGCAAGAGAGGTCTGCAGCCCTGCTGGTCGCATGGGATGGTTCTTAGGCTCTGCCTTTCTCTGTGGATGTCTTCCCCCCCCAAGCTAAGCCTCTGTTTCTCTTATTTCGGCAGCTTTCCTGTAGACCTCCAAAGTAACTAAGACCAGAGGGAAAACCACGCTTTTGGTTTTGAACAAGCTTGCCTGTGGAGAGACCCCCTTTCAAAAACACAGATGAAGGAAGCTTCTGGAAAGCATGCTGGAAGGGAGGCCTTGCACATCCCTCTGTGTGAGACCTACAGGAAGAGCTGTGGTTTGTCACCCCATCCCACCACCCCCACCAAAGGAAACCAAGGAAGGAGGAGCAGGGGAAAGAGACAGGGAGAGATGTGCCCTGAATGGCTGATCTCTGTGCAGACACACATAATGAATACACGTTAAGCTACTCTTAACTTCTCCCCATTGTACCTGACAGGCCACTGTAACCGGGAGTGCCCTGAAGCAATAAAGAAGGTACTAGGAGGGAGGGCACTGACATATCTGAAAACCACCATGCAACTAACTCCTCTCTCAGGGGCAGAATCAGTCTCAATCTTTCTCTCTATCTCTCCTTCCTCCCTTCCCTCCTTCTTCTAGGAAACTGCAGGCAATCATCTTATTTTAATAGAGCAAAGCTATAAATTATGTTCTAGTAGACGCTGATGTTTTACTGCCAACACAGTCCCCTTCCGACAGCCTGACCCGTCAGCTGGGCTTAGCGGGATGGAGCCATCCGGTCATGACTCATGCCTTTACCAGAGATGTCGAATCGGGAGTGACGTGTGCTTCATAGCCACCAGGACTCCACCCTGGTCCAGATATAAAACACTGTGCTCCTCTTCAAAGATCTGCAAGAGGGAAACACAGCCACATGGACACACGCCACATCCACAAATGCCCAGAGTTCAGAGAACGAGTCTTCGTCTGAAGAGATAAATCCCTTCCATGAGAGAACACGGTTTCCCAAAATCTTTGGAGAGACAGTTATAAACAGTGCTTCCCAAGGAGGACCACATGTACCATTGGAGTTATACTAAATGCTTTTAGGTGCGCCGCAAAAGAAATCTGAAGAATTAAGAGTTATGTGTTCATATTTATATTCCCATCTCTTTGCGGTAAGTTCTGTTGATTCCCACGGATGACGATGTCAGACTACTGGGTAACCATCCTATTGTGCAACATCTTTAGAAGGAAGAAAGCTTAGAGATACCTTACTCCAACATTCTCATTTTGACAGGTTTAGAGAGATGGGATCTGCCTAAGGCCAGGCATAGAGTAGCTCACGGGGCTGGGACCTGCGGAGTTACTGTGCCCTTTCTAGAATGTAATTACTTCAAAGTGTCCAAGTATTACAAAGGAAAGCTGTTCCTGTTCAATTCATAGATTCGCTACCAAGCCTAATGTAGTTCTGATCAAAATGAAATCAACTTGGGGTACATGTGTCCTTTAGGTTTTTCGCCAAATGTGCAGAAATCAACTTGAAGTCAAGTGGAGACGGGCTGCAAACAATTTCTGTGTCCTCTCCGTACGAGACATGTGTTGTTTTCTCATAATTGCGTTGTTGGTATTGCCTTGTCTGTGGATACACTACAGACATAATTATTTTCCCTCTTGTTTATCTCTTCTATCTAAAAGATATCCCAGGACTACAGATGTAGAGAGCTCTCTGCTTGGTTTGGGTGCTGGAAGAAACAAAATGGGATCCTGGCTCTTGAACTGTTCTCCAGAGGCAGCTTAGTAGTCCAAGTTCCTACATGATCAAGATCCCAAACCCCAAGATCAACAGCCCTGGGGTTTAAGCAACTTAAGCAAATTTCCTTCCTGCCTCACTCTTCTCAAACCACATGAATCATACAGAGGATCTACGAAGGAAATGGTAATTGGACCACGGCATGGACATCTCTGTCTAAAATTTAAAGCAGAGTGTTCTTATTTCTGTGTGATTACCTGTGCATTAGATTTCAATTTATGGTGCTAGTTATTGTATGATAATTAAACATCAGCAGGTTATTAAAATATATTTATTGAAGTGTAACAACCATGCATTAGACACATATCTTGTTATGATTGCTAAACCTCATTAAATGCTTGTTTTATAAGCTATGGGTATCTAATTTTCATTTAGAATATAGAGAGGAAGCATTTAAGCTAAACACGTTGGTTTAAAGTGATTCCATTTCTACGTTTCCCAACTTATGCACCCTGATGGTTATTACTCTGTCTTCTGCACATGAAATTTAAACATTTCAGACCACCACCTGGGTAATGGCTGTTTCTGTATCACTGCATTCCTTTCTACTCTGACTCCAAGGCAAGAGGGATTTATGGTGGCAACTCAGTGGTGGGGATAGAATCCACCCTCCAGGCTCCATGTTCCCATATAATAACCCCTTGGGGATCCTGGTTTTCTTCTGTGGAAAAAAAAATTCAGTCAGCTCCAATTTGGTCTCATTTTAACTTACAAACTTTCTTACATAGAGGCTCTGAAAAAAGGGTCATTTTTATTGAATGACAAAAAAAAAATCACATTGCATAAATATTTGCTAAACTCAAAGACTTACTTAAGACTCCCATAAAACAAAAAAGGAAATAAACACATTGACGAGCTTTAGGATCTATGTAGAGCCAAAGGAGTTCCCAGAATTTAACCAAGTTGAACAATGTTTATATGTCATTTAAAATGTAGCAACTCGACCCAGGATGTCTGCTTACCTGCCTCCAGGTGTTCCCTGCGTCTGATGAGACAAACATGCTGATGTCGCTGTCTGATAATTCAGAACCTATATTACCTAGAGAAAGCATGTCACCATTAGTGAAAGGAGCTGCTTGCAAAAGCTAGCAATAGTCTCTACTGGCCATCTATGCTGCCCGAGACGGACCGAGACTGTCAACACTGTACGTGAGCAAGGGTTTCTTAGCGCAGTTTCTCCAGGGTCAGTTGTTTGAGTGACTTTTTTCGCTTGCTCATTAAGTTCCCAGCACAGATATCTAGCTTCTAAAATAAATACAATTTGCAACAGCAAGCCCACCAGGCAAGCTTCTTACCTGAAGCCACTATGATGCTGGGCGCTGTGTCTCGGCTGGCAATGATCCCTGATGTGTAGGGATTCTCAGAGACCTTAAGGTGAAGGTGTAGTGAACAATAGGGCTGAGAAGAGGAGAAATGAGGGTCATAAAGACATGTAATCTAAACCATCATTTAAAGTCCAGATTCAAAGCATCCATGCATTCATCCACCCAACCCATCTAGCCATTCATTCATGTACTCGTCTCCTATTCCACAGGTATCTGGTGTCCACTAAGTATAAGACAGGTGCCAAACTGGAGGGAGCATCTTCATTTTAGGTTTGATCTACTGCCTTGATTGCCATTTGGCCATTCAACAAATATCTTAGTGCTCTATCTGTAAGGCACTAGGTGTAGCTTATGAAAGACTTACATTGACTAACATTTGGTCTCTGCCATTATATGGTACTTAATTTAAGATTTTTCTATTGACTACCATCAAAAGAGACTAGCATAACAGCCATAAGATCAGTAAGGAGGAAACATCAAGTTCTAGAGGCTGACATGACTGTGTGTCCAACTTTGGATAAGGGAAGGCTTCAAGGAGAAAATGGTGCCTGAGCAAAGATGGGTAAGGTGTGGATTGCAGGTGAGATGTTCAGGAAGATAAAGAACATTTCAGGCCCGAGCGATACCAATAACAAAGAAAAGAAGTAGAAGAGTTTAGCCAGGTAAGACAGAGGAGGAAAAATAGGGTAGAAAAATCAGGTAAAAAGATTTGCTCAAGCCAGGGGCGGGGGGATCTGAAGAAGTCAGCTGGCATCGCTTGGCCACCACCCATTGGACACATCAGTCTCGGTTGTCCAGAAGGTGCAGAATGACATCTGAAACTCACCTAACGTCTACCAGGAAATCAACACAATATCCACGTCAGAGTATGATCAGAATCCATATTAGTCAATATAAAAGTCATGCTTGTAGACAAAATGCACTAGTAATAACAATTCAAATGAAAATTTGAGGGACTTTTTAATCTGTGTGCAAAAATCTCGATCAAATTCTCTGATTAAGATACCAACAATTTTCAAATACAGGATAATAAATCTTACATGAATTTCATTTAAAACAGTTCTGGTACTGAGTTGTCAAAAACTACAAGTTTGTATCTGAACCTACATTTCTTTTCATCTCTCAAAAAGATTATTTTCTAATCTTATCGACTTGAGTTTTTGGAATTACCAATGTATCTCTGTTATTACTTTCATTCTGCTCTGTAAGTCTCAGCCAGCAGATATTCAAAGAGCTACAGAGATACAATGATTAAATTTATATGGGATAGAGTAAATGAAAAACTAAAAATGAAGCAGAGGGATGAAAGCGGCCAAAATACTGGTAAAGTAAAACAGTGGATCCCCAATAGGGACTTTCCTCCCTGCCAACACAGAGTAAACTCTCCAGGGATAATGATCATTGTAAATGATGGGTTTTGCCTGAAAATGACATGGAAGGCTTTCAAAAAAAGGCATTCTTACTTTACAACATTTCGTAAGAGTAAGGAAGACTGCCCCTCTAAAAATAATCTTTCTGATCCAGAGGTTTGGTTTCCTCTTGCCTGAGAAGACTATGAGAACAGGTAGCATTGTCTGCTGGGCACGTTCCCGGACAGGGCTGTGCTGCGCTGATGTTAAGACAGAGTAAAGCAGAGACGGTAAACGGCGCCTCCATGAAAGTTTTCCTGACAGCTGTAGCCTATCAGGATCTCCCCTTCTCGGATTCATAACAGTTTATTTGACCACGTGCAATCTCATATTATCTATGCGAGGTATGTACAGTTTTATCTCTCTAAGAGAGAAACACTACAAATAAAGAGAAAAAGTCAAGTACCACCCTTGGAGTCTTCTGTGGAACCTGGCCTAGCATCTAAAAGAGACAGCCAATAGATGCTCGAAGAATCAAACAATGCTTTATATAGGGACCGCCTGAAAGACCTTTGTTGAACATCTCACTCAGAACAAGGCCAGAAGTACGTTGGGCCAAATGTAAACCACATCGTCAGATTAATGTTGAGCATCTCCATGGCATTCCAAAAAGTCCAGAACTCCTAGGGGATTAGCCGGGTCTCATGCGCTTCCTGGAAGGTCCCTTGTGCCGCCCAACAGAGCAGAACACCCGTGGCTAAGGGAGCACCCAGTCTGCCATGCTGAGCCAGATGCTTGTCACATACTTCATTACCCAACAGTCCAGAAGATTCCGAAGCTCAGATGCCATCTGACCTGATCAAGGATTATTTGACATAGGGCACCTGCCGTTACAGAGAAAAAAGGGCAATTTCATTTGGCCATCTCGTCCTTTCTCTGTTGGTAGGGCTCTCAGAGGCTCGAGATAAATTAATTTGAGAAGAAAAGACACCAGTTCAGGCCGTAGCAACAACGTTAGAAGTGCTCTTTTTGGTGCACTTTTTTCTCCACTCTCACATTTGCAGTACTGGATTGCCCCCAGCTGGTATGAGGAGAATATTCGTGGCTTTTTTTCCCCCCTCTTTCCATTTTTTCAAGGAAGTTACATAGTCTACATCAATGCTCAAAGAAAAACAATGTTTAGCGATTCATCTTTACTTTTTTTTAAGTTAAACTTTTGTACCTGACCAGCTTGGGACATCTGTCAAAGTCAAATCATCAACAATTAATGGAGAGGTTTATTATAATGGCTATCAAGCCACTGCCAAATCCTGCAGGACACAGGACAAGGTCTCTAATTGTTATGCACATTTTGCCCAGGCAGGGGACACTTTGCTTACCTCTCTTTTCCTGCCTTCTCTCCAACCTTCTCACAATCTTTTCTCCCTTTACCAACCATGTCATAAATATCTGAGCATCTTTCCAGAGTTATCTCTAATTCAGTAGAGTCAAAGTACAGTTAGCCCCACAGGCATCTCTCTACTCCCCTTATCTTTCCACATTAAGAAAATACGGAACTTTACACTGAGACCACCAGTACTTCGTGGCTGATTACAGAGAATGGAGGGAGCAGCATAGTACATGTTTGGAAATTGCCCTTTGTGTCTTTCCTCACACACAGTCACAGGGCTATCAGCAGCTGGTCAAGCCTAGCAGCAACTAGATCCCTCGTCTTTCATCTTTTCAGGATCAGATTTAGAGTTTGAGGATCTGAGGCAAATTAAGGGGTCTATCCCAAGAAAAAATACTCAAAAGCAAATGCACACAGCGTTCTGTATTCAATTCCAGGGAGTTCATAGACTCCTGAAACCCACTGTGGATCTCTAGGTCCCAATGTTTTTTGTTTTTTTTTTAATTATTTTATTTTATTTTTCAGTGTTTCAAAATTCATTGTTTATGCACCACACCCAGTGCTCCATGCAATACGTGTCCTCCTTAATACCCACCACCAGGCTCACCCCACCCCCCACCACTCTCCCCTCCAAAACCCTCAGTTTGTTTCTCAGTCCACAGTCTCTCACGGTTTGTCTCCCCCTCCAATTTCCCCCAACTCACTTCTCCTCTCCATCTCCCAACGTCCTCCATGTTATTCCTTATGCTCCCCAAGTGAGTGAAACCATATAACTGACTCTTTCTGCTCGACTTATCTCACTCAGCATAATCTCCTCCAGTCCTGTCCATATCGATACAAAAGTTGGATATTCATTTTTTCTGATGGAGGCGTAATACTCCATTGTGTGTGTGTGTGTGTGTGTGTGTGTGTTTGTGTGTGTATACCATATCTTTTTTATCCATTCATCTCTTGAAGGGCATATACAATGGAATACTATGCAGCCATCAAAAGAAATGAAATCTTGCCATTTGCGACGACGTGGATGGAACTAGAGGGTATTAGGCTTAGCGAAATAAGTCAACTGGAGAAAGACAACTATCATATGATCTCCCTGATATGAGGAAGCGGAGATGCAATGTGGGGGTTCTGGGGGGCTAGGAAAAGAAAAAATGAAAGAAGATGGGATTGGGAGGGAGACAAACCATAAAAGACTCAATCTCACAAAACAGGCTGAAGGTTGCTGGGGGGAGGGGGGTCGGGAGAGGGTGGCTGGGTGATGGACATTGGGGAGGGTATGTGCTATGGTGAGTGCTGTGAAATGTGTAAGCCTTGCAATTCACAGACCTGTACCCCTGGGGATAAAAATACATTATATGTTTATAAAAAAATTAAAAAATAATAAAAAAAGAAATTAAAAATAGAGCTTCCCTATGACCCTGCAATTATACTACTGGGTATTTACCCTAAAGATACAGAGGTAGTGAAAAGAAGGACCATCTGTACTCCAATGATCATAGCGGCAATGGCCACAGTTGCCAAACTGTGGAAAGAACCAAGGTCCCAATGTTGTTTTGCCATATTATTTTATTTTTCATTTTAGCCAGTGAAATCCTTTGGCTATTGCTAGTGTCCAATACGTGTCTGTTGGATTTAAATGATGCATTAACTAGCTACTGTCTTCTTAGCACTGTGGATGGCCAATGGAGAATTACTAACTGATAGGAGACATGTTCCCCGCCCCCAACATGAATAAAATCAACTTCAAAAAACTGTTAGATTATTTGAGAATCAATCAGCTTCTCATTCCACTTTCTCTTTTCCCCAACCTCTGTACTAACAGCCTTTAGGTCTTGTCTTCATGGTACTCATATCCCTAGGGCTCCTAATCTGGGTATTACACTGACAAGCCAAATCACACTTTTTATAAATAATAAGGCAGCTGCTGAAGTCTTAAATAGTATCCTCCAAATCCACTCCCTGCACACACACACTCGCGCTGTCTATGATCCTGAGTTGGACCTAGAAATCCTTAGATTTTTAGTAAAGAGTCAATGGCAAAAAAGAGAGAGGGCTGTGGGCCAAGTGGCTGAGTCTGGGTGCACTTTTTTCTCCTGGGGCTTGGGCACTCTCCTGGAGATTCAGTTCCACTCCGTTCCAATACACCATGCAGAGTCACAGCCTGTGTGCAGGAGTGGGATGCGTGGTCAAGAATTTCCTGAGGAAGCTGGCTGGCTAGCTCCAGCAGAGAACTCTCAGCTGAATGCATAAAGAAGTCATGGCCTCTCTCCACAGAACACTATGCTTTCCCTGGGGACCCGAAGGATTTGTTACAGGCTCGGTTCACATCTCACCTCTTGGGAGCCCAGTCCTGAGGCTTTGGAGGCAGGTGGACCATGACCTGTAATACCCCATCTAACAGTACAATGCATTCTTCAGAGAAAAGAAATCCTAGCTGAGCCCTCCAGGCAATCAGTCTGAAAGTCCTAAAAATACAGCCCCAAATTACTCTGGATGTCTTATTTCTATAGAATGCATTTTACCAGGGACGTTCCGTTTGGGGCTGTAATTCTGAACTTGTTCCACATTTGTAACAGCCCTGCTGGAAAATCTCCTTTCTAATCACTAGGCTGTGCTTTCGGTGACACTGTCACTTTCCAAGTACTCACAACCTAAAAGCACTTTTTTATCTCCTCTCTGCCACCAGCTCCCAAGCCTAAAGAAGGTTTTTAACGGTCCGGGTCTCCTGTAGCTCAAAGATTTTCTTTCCTATTTTGTGCCTTTGGCAGATTTTTATAAGTGATTTTGGTCCCTGCCCCGCCCCCCTTTGCCATTTCCTTTTCTCAGCCTGTCTTCTAAAACTCGATTCAAACTACATCAAACAGGGTTAATGAGAGAGGCAGGCCAAAAGACTCCTGGGTGCCCCACATCCAGAGCCCATTAATTCATCTTCACTGGATCTTAATGAGCCTACTGATATTGCTAACTGTAGGGTCAACCTGAGCCTCTGGGCTTCAGAGAGGGATATTATGACAGATCCCTCCATGTGGCTGTTGGTGCCAAGGGAAAGCTTCCACTCAAGTCCAGACGTGAAACTCCAACACCACCTGCCAATGAAGCATCGACTTCAGACGAACCATGCCCATCACAACAACATGTGCTGAACATCCGCCACGGGGTTGATCTGTGAGCAGATGCTCTGGAGTGGCAAGGACAGCCATGGTTCCTATACTTTCGCCGCTCCTGGTTCGGCAGGGGGAGGCAGAAAAGATAGCCCGACCAGCACACGTGCTGATTTCAGAACATGAGAAGGGTCATAGGTAAGCAAGAGTTGGGCCAAGTTCCAGCTTAGGGAGAGCTGAAGAAAGCCTCTGAGATTCAGGTAATCGGGCAAGAAGCTGAAAGCCAAGGGAAAGCCAGGCTACGGAAATGGCATTTTAGGAGAAATAATGGTGAACACAGGGGCCTAAGACATAAAGGAGTGCAGTGAGCTAAAGGTATGGAAAGAGGTGGTGTCTTCTCCCAGCTTATGTAAGCAAGTGGGGAGAGAGAAGCCAGACAGCAGGAAGGAGGAGCAGACAGAAGCCGGGCCCTATGGGACCTCACAGGCCATGGTCAAGTACTAGAATCTTATTCTACCTGAGTTAGAAAGTCATTAGAAACTTCAAGTAAAGGAGGGACAACATCTGAATTTTTAAAGCTCAAGTTGATCTTATTTACATGAAATGTGAGAAAAGATAAATCTAATCTATCGTAAAGAAAAGCAGATTTGTGATTGTCTAGGGCCAGGGGAGTGGAAACTGACTGCAAAAGGGCACAAAAGAATTTCTGAAGGTGATGAAATGTTCTATCTTGACTGAGGTACTGGTGACATAGGTGTATCTACACTTGTCAAGATTCATCAAATTATATTCTTAAAATGGGTACTTTTTATGTATGTTTTACCTCAGTAAAATTGGATTACAAAAGAAAAGATCTCATTGGCTGCCGTGTGGAGAAGAGATTGCCAGGTAGAGATGGGAGGACCAGTTGGGAGCCCATCACTGTAGAGCAGGAGAGAAATGATGGTGGCTTGGATTAGGACAGTCCCAGTGGAGACGGGTAAGCAAGCTGACACCGTGTTTATCTCTTGGAGGCATGGCATTAAGACTTCCTCAGTGCCTGGGTGGCTCAGCTGGTTAAGTGTCTGCCTTCAGTCCACATCACGATCTCAGGGTCCTGGGTCCTAAGGTGGAATCTGTGCTCAGCAGGGAGTCAACTTCTCCATCTCCCTTTTTCTCTCTTCCTGCTCATGCTCTCTCTATCTCAAATAAATAAATAAGACCTTTAAAAAAAAAAAAAAAAGGCTTCCTGAAACTGGGCTGGAGGCAGAGCAGGAAGCACTGCACTAAGTGCTTTGTGTCAGAGGCATCTGTCATGACCCATTTGCAATGCCAGAGTGACGACAGGCAAGCCTCTTTAGGTGCTACGGTTAATTCTCTCTCATGGGCATTGAATCTCCAAAGTGCATGGTGGGATGTAGGACCACACTGAGGCACTGGGCATCCCAAGCTTCTCTGGCTAAATACCATGATACCCCAACTTGGAAGCATGAAACTAGGAAGGTAGCTCTGTTTGTTTTTTTAATGCTACAAAACAGTGCCTTATACAGAGTAGGCATTCAATAACTGTTACATTTCCTTACTTTGTCACTGGCTTTGTGCACTTAAAATAACAACTGGCTTTTCTCCCCCTGTAAGTTGCCAGTAAGAAGGGTGGAAGCCGAGTGGGAGGCTGAATTTTAGACTGCTTCCCTGATGCACACTGACAACTGTGATATCCTTTGCAACTAATAAGGTCAAGTCATGGCATCTTCTTGAGTAGGAGGGTGACCTGCCTACAGCAGTGTGAGATGAACCCGCAAAGGGACTGTTCAGACTTTATGGGACACAGCAAGTTGAGTGTGGATAACATCAGAGTCAGAATTGTATGAAGACTGTGAACACTGATGTGTGTGTGTGTGTGTGTGTGTGTGTGTGTATACACAACCAAACCCTTCATACTAAAACGAAGAAGTCTCCCCTCTAGGTTTACATACTGATCTCTCCTTTATTACAAACTGTTTCACAGAAATTAGCACTTAAGTATGCTTTTTTGGTAATTAATCTCCCCCCCACTTCTGCATTCATTATTTACTCATGTGTCCAGTACAGGGCGCCACCAGAGCTACTATGAGGAGTGAGATGTGACCCTACAATCTCTTATTTATCATTCTAGTCTCTTCCAAGGTGACTGTAAACTCCTTGAAGTCAAGACTCAGCCTCGATCCCCGTCTTGGACACCTTCATGTAATCAAATATATACATATATATATCAACCATGCTGATCTGTCTACTCAGTGTCCAAATGTAGACAACTAAAAGAAATTCATACTTCAGAGGAGGGATTAATAAACCTTTTTTTTTAAGAGCCAGATAATAAATGCTGTAGGCTTTATACACCATACGGTCCCTGCCGTGAGTACTCCATTCTGCCATACAGAGCAAAGGCAAGTCAGTCTGTAACTAAACAAGACTGAGTTCTAGTAAAGGTTTATGTAGAAAAACAAGTGGTGGGCCATATTGGCCCAACAGGCCATATAGTTTACCAACCCCAGCTTTCTGGAATGAGACTCAGATGAACTGAACATATTACAAAGGGTACCAATGAGGGTTTAAATTAGTGGTTCTTACCCTAGTTTGAGGCATAAACTCCCCTCAAAATATGACTAAACACCTTTGCTGGAAAACATATCTACAAAAATCTTTAGTTCATCAATTCTACAGCTGAATTTATGCATCACTGGCTATATAACAAGCCATTCACGGGAAAGTAAGGGTGTCTATCCCCACCATACATGGAAACTATCACATTCTCCCTAAAACTGTAATTTGAGGTCCTCCACAGACCTTTAGTCATAACTCAGAATCCTTGATGTCAGCAAGGAACCCACTCATGCCCTCTTACGTCATGGGCCCACACAAAAATCAGCACAGGGGCTCTTTTCCACACACCCTGCCTTCATGCCCAGCCCTGTCCCTTTTTGTTCACTGATTGAACAACGAGCCCTGAAACCATTATACAACGAGCTTGTATAACATCCCCTTCCAGCCCTCCACTGTGCGGAACATTCTTCTCCAATGTGAAAACTTACCAGTAAGCAGTGCACAGGGTCCCCCCTTAGATCCGTGTCCGGTGCCTGTAGCAAACGCCAGTCTCGGCCTTTGTTGTACGTGATGAAAGTCTTCACTTGGTTGTCAATCTTCTTGTTAGCCAAGAACATTCCCTTTATCCCTGCTACCTGGGAAAAATTGACATGGCTGAAAAATACATCAATTTGAGATAGGATATATTTATTTACTTTAAAAAAAGAAGTGACGGTCAAATTCAGCTGGAAGCACTTGGAGAAAAGAGAGGATGAGGATGAAGGAAAGGGGAGTAATGCTTAAGTATAATGATTCCCTGAACTGTGGCACAGAAGAGCAATACATCTTTGCCCCTAATGGTATGGCGGTGGTAGTCTTAAGTTTGATGGAAGCTTCTTATTTCCTCTAAGGTAGGTTGGTGGTAGCTCGCAGTCGCCTAGAGTTACAATCTGGTGCTTTCAGTTCTGCTGCTTGGTATATGATATATAAATATGGCGACTTTAATTTGATGTTAGGCATAGTACCCATCGTCTTAAAGACTGGCTCTCATTTAATCTTTGTAGTAATCCTTTTGGCTAAGTACAACTTATTCTTTTTCACACATGAGGAAACCCAGTCTCATCCAGGTAAAGTGATTTGTCCACGGTCATGCTGCCTAAGGTCACACAGAGAGTAAGCGGCAGACCTGGAATTTTAACTCAGAACTGATGGCTTCACAGACCATAATCTTAACAGCTCTCCAAGTCACTGAGCTATGTACAGTCTGGGGCAATTGACAAAGTTCAGTTTAAAGCTCAGGATCCAATTGCTATTGTTTCCCCCCTTTTTTTGTTCTGTAAAAAGATGGCTCTATTAAGCCACTGAAATATACTGAACAATAGAGAACAGCTTTTGATAAAATAAAAATAAAAATATAAACACACACACACACACACACACATACACACACACACACACACACAGCTTTTAAACCTAAAGCAGCAGTGGTTTCCCTAAGTTGTGAAGTCATCCCCTCCTCCATTGCTGTAATGCCTGTTCCCACCGTAAATGGTCCTTCTTAATTACTTGGCTCCAACAATATGATTGCCTTCTCTCTTATATACTTGAGGAAAAATACTCAAATTGCTAAGTTGGTAAAGCCACGTGATCACGAATCCTGAGTTGTACATCATATTTTTCAAGCACCTTCAAGTGTATTAAATGCATTCATACCCATTTTACCCTATTTGGAATTATGACAACCCAGGAAGACTGAGGGCCAGGGACAGCAGGGTCTGAATGCATGCAACAGCGCAGGTCATCCCATGTAATGCTCACGGGAACCGTGAGATAGAATTACCAGCAGCCACATTTTGAAGATAAGGAAAACAAAAACTTGGACTGAGTGGCTTTGTGGAGCTCAGAAGGGAGTAAGTGGACAAGCTAACAAGCATATTTGAACCCACTTATCTCAGGCGCTTTACAGGAGAATATGAAAATCTTTAAGCAGAAGAGGGAAAAAATAGCATGAATCCATGCCATTCACCCAGGACTCTGTGCAACGCTTTATACACCGAACTGCTTCTACTCACTTCAAACCTGCCTCACAGCTACGGCCCAGATCCTATGGATGAAGAAACCGATGGGTAGCCAAAACTTAATTGCTGATGATAACAGAGAGCTGGAGTTCACACTCAAATCCGTCTGACTTACAATGTGCTTTTACAAACTCGGCTCTGAATTTCTCAACACCAAGAGGCTGGGTTTCGAGCAACAGAATATGTACATGTTACCTCTGCTTCTGACACAGTCAAACCTCATTCGTTTGTACCTGCCAGCGTGGCATATGGGATAATTTAGAGTTGGGCCAACTTCGTATTCCTTTGGAACCACAAGTTTGTTAAGCAAATAAATACTACTTAGGAAAACAAGCCTCATTTTGGGCAATTGACAGCAAGCAGACAGTTTCCTATGCATTGTTGATCCTCGACAAATGTGGAAGGCACAAATTCCAGGAGCACGGCACCTCCCGACGCTGGTATGTTAATTACCGATAGTCGTTAGTTGCTCACTATCCCAGCTCCATAAGGACGGCCCACCAGGGAACCCCATATTGGTTTTGCATATGTTCCAGAGGCTGTTACATATTTAAATATGACTCAACTCCCAGTTCTTTAAAAATGAAATTTCATGAATCGGAATTTTCACAAGTCATGCTCGTTTTCTCTCCGCAGCGTCCTCCTCCATGAGAAACAATCTGCCTTAACCACTCGACACTTGAGGTTACAGTAAGTAGAGAGAGAATGAAATGATTACCTGTTCCTGTAGTTTCATTGCCCATTTCCCTTCCTGCCCTCGCCCTCTTTTGGCAAGAGTGTCAGAGCAGGGTCCTACGCGTTTAGGAACGGGTTCATTTGATTTGCAGAAGCAGTGACTTTATTGGCCCCCGATTGCTTGGCATTATCAAATACCACTTGAGTGGAGAGCTCTGCTTTGTAATTCATCTTTGGCAGCCTGGCCTTCCGGTTTATCTTGAGGAATAAAAACTTGCCAAAGCAGAGGTAATCCGTGACAACAGGGGATGGAGCTGGAGTGGGTCTGCTTATTCTCTTCTTGTGGCCAAGGCACTTAATCTGTGAAAATCCCATTTGTCGTGTCTTTTTATTTTTCTTGCCTTTTTGGTCTGCCCTGCTGAGATGGTCACCCCGGCGTTTTGGTATCTCGTACCATCCACTGCTCATTTTGCTCTATGCCCGAGAAGTCCATCTTTCTGGGTGTCTTGGTGCCCCTCTAGGCATAAGGCACTTTCCTCAGGGGGTTCTTTTGTGAGGTTTCATCTTCTATTTCTTGGAACCTCTAGCCTCTTACTTTGGATATCACTTTGGAAATTAAGGAAGCAGTGTCAGTGCCCAAAATATGGATTGTGTGTGTACTTGTGTGTGTATGTATGTGCATATGTGTGTATAAGGTCTGGGGTTCCATTCAGGATGGGGAGGAGAGGTTTATGTTGCCAGACAACCTCAGTGTTCATAGCATGTGTTTATTTGTGTGGCATGGGTGGGGCTGAGGGATGGCACAGGATGGGGAAAAGTACTATTCTTGGATGAAGATATGCCTTCCCGCGAACACAGTTTCTGAGCAGGATATTCCTGTGGGAATGACACATCACACATCACGGATTCTGTCTTCCTTTGGGGAAAGACCTGTTACCTTACTTACCTTTCTGAATTCTGCTTGAAAATGCTGAGTGAGTTGAGAAGCTACTTATGTTTCTTTGCGGCTCATAGGGGGAGTGTGATACCGGAAGTCTCAAAGGTAATTAGTTATTATTTCTTATTTTCTGATCTCCTAGGAGCCAAGATGCCATTTTGATTAGACTTTAAATAAGAAGTGCTACAGCTCAAACCTCAGGCCACCACAAAGCCCATCTGCACACTTACTGTGCCCCTGGGTGCTAGCTTCAGGGTGCTGCCCTCCTTCTCTTATCTCACTCCCCTGGTTCATACAGGCTATCTCCCACTCCCTTGGATAACACACTGATATGTCTCTACCTGCCCACTTCCTTGGTTTTTTGGATGGCACCTTTAGATGGTTCTCTTCTAGCCCAATCTTTCATTCACAGGCTCCACACAGAGGCTAAGCTGGGAAGACCCGTGAACAAGAGTTACTGCTGATTTCTGACTCTACTGCCCATTGGGAGATGACCCCTCCCGCCCTCTTGGTCTCAGACGTCAACTACAAATCCAAGGTGTCAAAATGTGAAGAGAATAAAAATTATGAATCAACAAGCGTGGCAAGAAAGAGAATGTATCTGTGACCATAATTGCTTTGCGCTTTGGACATAGGCTATTTTTCTGCTCTAAAGAGAGGGTTGCAGCCAGGAGAAACACATATTCAGAGGGAGAAAGGCCAGGGGTGACTTTGCAATCAAGGAGCCCGCTCCCCACCTAAAGGCCCAAGTTTCTTTTCTTCCCTACTGACTTGACCAGGCAGCACTCCTCTCCTAAGGAGAGAGTAGCCTTAAGTATAATTAGCACATTCTGTGTCCTGTAAGAAATAAGCCCGGGAAGGGAGAGCAGTTTTCTTCTCTACCTCCCACGCTGGATTGTAAGAGGCACCTTTCCCCAAGAAATCAAGGTCTAAGTGCTTCAGCACAACTGCTGAGCTTTCTCTTTCAAAGAGGCGGCACTCTTCCGTGCAGAAGACGCAGTGTGTGCCAACGAACAAGCACGGCTCGTCAGTATGTTTTCCTCATGCTGCCCACTGTGCTCAGTCATGCACACATTCTGTGCATCCCAAATTTGCCAGCCAGGTGGCTTCACTCCCAACACGACCCTTTCCACTTGGCTGGGTGAACTATCATTGTCCATTAAGCCAAAGCGCTCTTCATCATCGTTAATTAATATTCCCTTCCCAGAGGAGGGAGGATATTTTCCAAAGCTGTCAGACCCCCCTCTCATCATCCACACCAGACGAAAACACTAGGAATCACACGTCTCAGACACATTTATCCTGTCTCCTTTGCTCTGGCTGCCATCAGGCATGCTGTCTTCTGTTTCCCATCCCACGTGATGCCACTGGGGCATTTGTGCTATTCAGGGGTGACAGAATTTTAGGACACTTGTTTCTAGGCGTCTCTTATGGAAACACAGCCACTGGACAAAACTGGGAGGCACAACGACAGCACTGACTGAATTTAGCTATAACTGAGGACTCAGGATCTGGGTCAGAAGGTGGTGAATAGGTCCAGAGCTATGATTTGTGGATTCTGCTTCTGTTGGCTTTTTCCCAAGACTGTTTTCTTTTTCTTGTCTGCTTTCCTCTACTTCTAGGTAAAGTCTAATACTATTTACCTACCCTTCAATGACTTTCAGTCTAAGGGTTATGGCTGGGCCACAATCAAATACAAGTGCAAATCCTTCCAGAGACACAAATAGTTTGTTAAGAGTTCTGCATACTCTAGGACTCACATCCTAATTCTCCCACTTAGCTAGCTTTGTAATCTTGCAAAAATGATAGCATTTTCTGCATCCATTTACCTATGTTTAAAGTGGAAGTAATGATAGTTGCAGCATCATAAACTTAATATATGGAATGAATGAAATAATTATGGAAGGTTCTTTACACAGTGCTTGGCATATACTGGCACCTGAAATATTATTGTTGTTATTATGACCTTTCATTGACAAAAATCACTATTCAGCATTTTTGCTCTGTGTCCAACTTTCCCCCATGACTCTCCTGAGTGTGGTTCATGGTGGTCAACTGACACTGAAGGAAATTCTGGTATTTCAATGATTAAACCATGCAAGATGGTCACCCAACACTCTGTCCCCAATATTTCCCTATGTCATCACATGCATACATGTACCTCCAGGGCAGAGAGAGCCACATTTATTATAAGGTTCCAATGTATGTATGTGAACAAAATTATTGAATTTAATGAGAAATGTGCTTCCTTTTGCATTTCCCACACAGACTCATCAACAGTACATATCCTTGATACACAGACTCATACTGTTACACATTACCAGTTTGCCTCTGCTAAAATACCTTAAAGAACACACAAGAATGGCAGGTCGTTGACATGGAGAAACATACAAGCAAAAAACTCACACCATCCTTCTCAGTCACCCCCAAATGTGAGCAGCCGTGCACTCCATATGTTCTATCTTTGTCACCCCTACTTTATATGTCGCTCATCTCTGCTCCTTATTAATTCAGTTATGGATTTTCTTACTTTTCATTTATCTCTAAGCACTCATCGTTCATCGCAATTCTACTGGGAAGCTCATGCTGGATGGCTTTCGGCTTCCTGCTAGCCAGAACAATCAGATTTAAGGAACATTTGTGCCAGGTTCCATGTCAGCCAATATTCTTTCTATCTAGGTAATCAGCAGATACGGCACCACCGTTCTGATCATATCAATTTCAATTCAAGTTGCTGCGAACTGTCAGGCTAATAAAACCAAAGACTCTTCCTCCCAGGCCCCAGGATGCAGAACACCTTTACATAATGCAGTCACACCACTGCTCACAGTGATGATAATAAGAGCCAGCAGTTTCCCTATGGACAGGCAACCATGAGAGAGACACAAAAGGGAAACATAAGGATTAACCAAGAAATGATCTGCCATGTCCAGAAGTCACCCTATTTCCTCTTCTCATTGCATACCTGTTAGCAATATCTGAATTCAGAAAACACTTCATGAAAACGGGTGTAAATAACTGAACATTGCAAACTCGTTCCTGTCCAAATCTGTCATCTTTTCTGTCATCAAGGGACCAATTAGAATGGTCTCTGTTTTGGCAGAAAACACAATTCATCCCGGAAAAAAAAAAAAAAAAAGTCTTCCACAATGCTTGAAAAGAGGGAGAAGTTAAACAGAAAGGGAAAAATGCAACCCGAAAATGAGAAAATGTTTTTGGGAGAACAAGGACAAAGTCAAGGCCAGGGAAGCAATCTGGGTGACGGATCTGAGACAGCTGCTTTGACTTCTTATCAGACTCTTGAAGCTAGATATTTCCATGGTAAGTGCTGGAATCAGCCATGAAAATGCATGACATTTCAACAAAACACACTTACAATTTAAATGTTTGCATGACATTTACAAATAAGGAAAGAAATGTGGCAATTTATACTTGTTTATAGGAAGATGACTGGATAGTGTTAAGCAACATCCTATGGCCGTGCTAAGAGCAATATGGGAAGAAACAAGGATCCAAAAGTGTTGGATATTTAAACAACGTGGGCAGATTTTAAGACTGTAAGAATAGAACATAGTATGAGGGCTTAATCTCATTGGAATATAATATTAGTTATGTTATCTATAATTTGTTGAGCATTGATAGATTTTTTGCACTGTTCATTGTATATACAGTAAGAAGATTAACTTAGTAATCCCCAGAAATTCTATCAAGTAGGTACCATGTATACAGCTCCGTATTTTAAATAAAAAAACTTAGGCTTGGAAGTTCTTGGCTTTTCCTCTAGAATTCATACATGTGGTGTAGCTAGGATTTAAATCCAGGCAGCCTGGCTCCAAAACTTATACTTTAAATCACAATTTTATCCAACATGAATTTGAAACTAAATCACCAGAATATGTAAATGTTTTCCAGAATACATGTTCCGTTCGAGGCTGAGATATATGATACTACTATATTTATCTGGAACATAAGCAGGAAAAGAGTGGAAAAACTTTGTGAATGTGTAAATAAGTCTGCAGTGCATTTTTCTAAATATATACACACTATGTCTCATGCTAGTTTGGGCTCTGAATGGGGTATATAAATTCATTAATATGGCTTTATACATACAGAGAAGTTTAGATACTAGAAGAAAATCCTGAAGAGCTCTTAAAGGAGAAAGGGGGTAGACAGCATTAAAAGGAATTACAATGATAGGTTTTAATTTGTTAAATGAAATTGGTTCCTTTCTTTGATATACTGGATATCATTCCCTTGCTTCTCATTATACAAACAAATCTCTTGACTCTATGAACTTGTACTCAATCAAAAGACAGCATCATTAGGACTATATATATTTGAATCAGTTTCAGATTTTCTTTCTTTTTTTTTTTTTTGTTTCAGATAGGATACAGGTAAATGAGTACTTCCCAAATTCTGAATACATTTTGCAACAGCTCATTATAACCCATTATAAATCCTCATGGTGCAAAAGTAGACTGACAAGTGGCTAAAATCCATCTCCAAATAGCAGCATGCTTTCTACCTAGCCATGCTTTCAACAGCATTCAAGTGTTGTTATTTGCTATGAAAGCTAAATGATCGAACATATAGGAATTTTCTTTTGTGCCCCAATCATTTTGAGAAACAAAGGGCCAAAGTTGTTTTAGGGAAATGAGGCAAACTCTATTTTTTTTGTCTCTGCCTCCCCCCTTCCCATTTAGGAGAGAAAGACTTATCTATCACTTCGTCTCACTCACTGGTCCTTGAGGAGATGACAAATAGTGGAAGTTATCTTCAGAAAGATATTCAGGTCCAATGGGAGTATCTTCTAGTTCAACACAAAGATATCCCCCTCGTTAGTTCTTCAGAGGGAAAAGGAGGATGCCCACTGCCCCTCTGCTCAAACTCTGACACCTTGTTTGCCTTCAATATTATTTTCAAATTTTATATTAGGATCATTCTTGTTCAAACCTTTCAACTGTCTGACTGCTTCCCCAGACACTCTCTCCAGGGCCCCTGAGACTTCATGGACTGTGGACTTCACCAAGAAAGGATTCCTAGAGAAGTGTTGGATGGAATGCAAATTAACCAGTAAAAATGTTCTACAAATCCTCCCCTCTCCCAAACGAAATGAGACCATGTAAGGAACTAGGAATTAAAATGATGGAGGCAACAGCCAACCGTGGGCCCTCACCCACCGGCCCAGGCACTGCAGTGGCTCAGGACGACACATGCCTTGTGACATACCTCATAGAGGTCGATCATGATGTTGCCCTCTGGACCCCTGCTGCTCTGAACGTTCTCCAAGGCCAGTGTAAAATAGACCCCACGGGTGTCTGAGATATAGAGGTTGTAGGTGTCATTTTGGTTCCATTCTTGAACCGCTGCAAACACTTGATTCTCATCCGTGCTGATGACATGCATGTCCTAAAGAAAGACACAGAGAAGTAAGAAGGATGAAGACGCTTCTACGTGAACATGGCATGTGTCCAAAGAGAGTGGAATCCCATGAAGGATACCAGAATAGGCTCTTAGGCACTGTCATGGAAGATAAAAATTTTCCCTTTGTATATTTGCGAAGTAATCATTAATTAGGCAAATGTTAACCATTTCCTTTGTCGTCTGTGGGGTTAGGCAGGAAGGTCATGAGAAAATAGGGCAGAGAGATGCTTGGTAGCTTGCTTATAATTTAATTACCTCATTAGATAATTGAAGAAGACTTTCTCAAATACGCATATCTTTGGAGAATCAATCATCCTGATATACTTGCCAGGCACAAACATGGTATATGTTCAGAAGACGTATGTGGGCCAAATATGAGGGAAAGTTCGAGAGACAGAGAGAAAATAGACAAGCCCTGCTTCCCTCAGCATGGTCCATGGGCTGCCAGTGCTGGCATCACCTGCAAGCTTGTCAGATACACAGAATCTCAGGCCTCACTTATTGAATCAAAAATCTGTATTTAAATAAAATCTGAGTGGTTCATATGCACATTAAAGTTTGACAAACACTCCCTAAGGCTCAGCAACTCCCAGAAGCCGCTGCGGAAAACAGTCACCTGAGAACCCCAAAGCACTCATCTTCACGTCAATGACTGTTCAAGGACTCAGCAGTTTATCTAAACCCTTAACTCTGAGAAATTCAGCAGGAAACCTGAAGTGAGAGAGGAAAGAAGTAGCCTGCTTTCAGACTCTGGTAGTCCTGGATGGAAAAACAAAGGCAAAGGTAATGTGGAGGCAGGGAGCAGATGTCCCTGGGGTGGGAATTCCAAATCTTTTCTTCCCCATTCAGAACTCCAGGGAAGTGGAGATGTTCAGGGGAGGCTGGCACAGACCAGGGCGTGCTGTCTTCTGTGCATAAGCTCTTGGCAGCTGTCTATGGCCCTGAGTAAAGGCCGTAGCTTTCAAAAGTGGTGTAACTTTCAAAAAACAAAAATCAAAACAAAACAAAAAAACAGAATTACAAATAGGCAAAAAGCCTGAAGAACAGTATGGAAAGATTCTTGGCCTTGTGTTGCTTAGTACTCAGATCTTCCCAGATGGATCTTCCTCCATCCTTGAAAAACTTCCAGAGAACTTTCAGTCTTCTCTGGTAAGAATTTCAGTGCTAGAAAGTTCTACCTAACTCCTAATCTAAATTTTCTCCTTGGAATATATGCCCATGTTCTTTCAACTGAATAATTAGCAATTCAGCTTGGACCCTCTCTAAACATATAGGAATGAGTCTCTCCTTCCTTTACCATGATCACAGTGAACTCTGATGATCCCAGAAGGAAGAAGACTTTACCCACAGAGTTTCATCTTTCTCACCCCTACTTGGGTCTCACATGTCATATTCTAGAGTTTGGTAATGTTTTTATATAAAAAATACAGAGCGGGAGGCCAAAAATGAATCCCATTAATTCAATGTAGATCAATTCAATGTGGATCAATAATGCAAACTTAAGTTTGGTATGCAAGTTGGCCATTGCTTATACCAGCCAAATGTCTATTTCCATTTCTTCTGATAACTGGAGTTGATGTTCTTTGAAAAACATCCTTATCACTCTCAGACAAATTTCCTCCCTGTACTTAGCCTTTGTTACTTTCTTTTACCCTTAGCACCAGAAAAGACCTTGTTGGCCTACCATTCAGAATATTCAATGTCCCCAACCACAGTGGTTAGATCAGTGATGGGTAGGCAACACAAAGTCAATAAGACACAATTCTAGAATGACACTGGGATTATCAGAAATTAAAAAAAAAAAAAAAAAAATTCTAGACCTATTGGGGGAATACTTTGGAGGGAAGAGAGGGGATGAACCCAGTCGTGAAGAAAATAGGCTCAAAAGGAAGAGAGAGAGGCCACATTGTGTGAAAGTCTTTGAGTCTTTGACTGTGGATAACTAAGAAGCCTTCCCTATCTGTAAACCTTTCAGTTAGAGAGGATCTACTCTAGCAGAGAGTAGAACAAAATGGTTAAAAGAATGGGCTTTGAAGTAAAACTACTTGAGTTCAGATCCTCCCTCTGTAACTTAGCTGTGTAAACCAAACTCTGTGCCTGAGAATTTCTACCCACAGAACATAGATTTTAGTATACCCTCCCTGGAGTTGTGAGAATTACACCGGCTACTAAGTGCTAAGCACTTAGAACAGTGCCTGACACATAGCATCTGTCCCACGTACACTAGCTATTTTCAGTTACGCAAGTGCTTAAATCCCCTTTGCTGATGAAGCAAGGTTGATTTGGCCTTTCTCTTTGCCGCAAATGTTCGGGGGCTAACTAGTATACTTAATAAAAAGTGCTTGCACTTTTTTTTTTTTTTAATTTTGCTTCTTTCTAATGGAGGGGATTAGCTATGGAAATTAGCCCAAGGGCCATTCAACCACTGAGGGCCAAACATTCTATGGCTCCCCACTTCCTTGTCCTTTGCCCTCCCAAATCCTTATTTAGCCATTTGGAAGCCTTACATAACTACTCCCAATTCACACTCCCTCATTAGCAGAATGCAGCATCCTCCCTGAATTCAAGTTAAAACACTTAAGCACAGATCTGACCCTCACGTAATTCCTACCCACCTCTGTGCCTTGGGAGTGAATTTGTGCACTGGGGAACCTCTGAAGTCTAGGTCATCACAGATATCTTGATAATAAATGCGAAGGGCTAGATACATCAACTATATCATCCCAACTCATGCAAATCTTTATTTTGTAGATTCACAACTAAAACACAGTGCTTCAAGGTCACCAAGAGAACTAGTCGAGTAACATCAGATTCAAAGGGCCATCTCTAGATAGGGGCCAAGATCCGATCTTTCTCTCTCCATATAATCCAATTACATTGAAGAGACTTAAAAAAAAAAAAAAAGTTGGTCTCAGATATCTTAATAGAAAGATCTGACATATTTAAATGTCATCTTTCTTTTCTTGTCTACATTCTCCTCTATCAGGAGAATATGCTCTTTCTACATAAAGTGGCACTTTATGTTCAATTCTTTTACTGAGACACAAAATTTCAGAACAAGAATTGACCTTTGAGATCTTCTGCTAGAGTGTTTTCCAAAATCTGTTCCATAGGACACCAGCATTGGTGGACTCTAATAAACTTTTTTTTTAATGGATACCTTTGCAAAGTGTTTCGATTAATGCTGAATTATATGTTTTTTTTTTTTTTTTTATAGGACATCCTAGAGCTTTCGACACCAGTGACCTGCCGCTACTCTCGAGGCAAGGGGCATAGAATGGAGTTTATTTTTTTCTTAAGCTTCTTTGGTCATAGAACCAAATTTTCGAGAGGCACCTCCGAGGACATTTTATTCAGAGTTAACATTTATCTTATTTTAAAAATGTAAAAACAAAAGAACAAACAAACAAAACACAGAGAAATAGAAATTGATAAGCCAGTCCAACGCAGGTTAGTGGCAGATCTGGGCCTCCTGCTGCCTATCCCCGCACCCCCCACGCCCCATCCCATCCATCTCCCACCACACAGACAACTAGATCCATACTGATAATAATATTACCTTGCTTTTATAGAGTATCTGTCCTCTAAAATGCTCAAAGCACTTTCATATGTATTGCCTCATTCATCTCCCTTGAGTAGCTCAGAATGAGCTCCAAGTAAGTTAAAGGAAACCGTCACCATGTCTCCCAGTCTGCGGGGGGGCCTCATGCTTTTAATAGCAGCAGCAACATTAAAGTCTCTCCATCCCCTTCTCCAGTCACTATTACCATTATATTATTATTATTATTATTATTATTATTATTGTTTTTTTTTGTTTTGTTTTGTTTTTTTTTTAAACACAGCTCAGGGTAACCATGGTCTTTCAAGAGCTGATACAATGGCCGTGGATGATTACAGAAAATTTTAACATGAAAGTGCTGGTTTGTCTCGATTCCTTTGGTGAGCACGAAGCTTTGTTCCTTTCCAGCCAAGGCAGCCCTGGCTTTGATAGAAGGCCATGAAATACGGGCGCCTTTCTGGCAGATCACTGCACCCAAGCCGGGGCTATTCTTTGAAGGTGTAATGGGACTGTAATGAGGCGACTCATTGTCTTAAATAATAAACACCTGCTTGGACCACATAATACGTTCATTTGCTGTGCTGGCTCCTATTTTTCCGGGGACAAGAGAAATTAATCATTGTGTTCTACCCTCGCACCTTAGATGAGGCTAGGAATAGAGCGGGCTCATCTCAGGTAGCCAGGGGAGGGGACAGTAGATTCAGGTTCAAAAGACAACTTTTCCTTCCAGACTGGCTGGGTGTCCCTGGGGGCAAGGGTCGACTTGAACAAGCAACGCAGAGGATGTGTTTCTTAACACTCCAGCAATAGATCCAAAGGTGGGTTTTGGTTTTAAATGACCATGGGTCTCCTTGGGTCCATGGGACTTTTTCTTTTGATGGTCCTCCAGTATATCAAAGTTTGTGGGGGATCTGCTATCTTATAATACTAAGCTATTAATTTATTTCCAGAGAAGAGAAGTGTAATACAAAGGATGCCAGCTGGGAACTCAGGAGACCTGAGTGCTTGCCTCACTCCGGCTGCAAAGAGCATTTGGTTTGGCCAGGCCTTATTCCGCACACAGAGTATTTTCCCAGGAGAGAACGCAAGAGGAGTTACTCACATCTGCTGCTTCCTGATTTGGTCCTGATTCCCACATGCCTCCTGAGCAAGAGCATCTCCCTGCATTGACTTTAAATCTTATTTTTAAAGGTTTAAGTCGTGCAAGCTAAACTACTGCATTTGCTGGCCAATCAAAGACATAGCCATTTATTTCAGCACTCGAAGGGGAAAAAAGAAAACAAAGCGGCTCTGTTGGACTTACTGGAGAGACAGGATCATATCCCTCATGGGCCTTCCTAAAAGAGAATCCAGGGTAATTTTAACAACACTCAGATTTAATTTTACATATGGACTTTACCCAATTCTCCTCTAAGGCACAACTCCAAATTGTTGTGCTTGTCTTTTTGGAAAACACTTAAAGCTGAATCAAGGGCAGGGAGCACTTCAATGTATGCAGTCGCAGGCATGTAGTTCTGGACAATTACCACCGTCAGCTGGAAATAATAACTACTAACACGGACATTGTTCTTCAGAGATAACAGTGCAATTTAATGTGTGTGATTATCCTGAGTGGGCCAGTGTCTCAGCCCACCTTACTATACTGTTATGCTTAGGGGCAGAGGGACGGCCAAGAAAGAGAATTCTGCCTGGAAAGGCCAGAGCAACTGGCTACCGAGACCTGTGATGTCCTTGTGCTCTATCTGTCACCTGAATTCCTGGCAGCGAGCTGGTGTTGGTCCAGGACAGCACACTACAAAGTTGTGGATAAAAACACAACGTAAAGAGTCATCAACACTCAATCAAAAAAAGTTCCCTATGTTCTTTGTCCAAACCAAAGGTTTCAAAGCTGAGCTGCAACTACATTTAAACCTACACTGTCCCCCTCCTACAGCCACACATACCTCCCTCGCTATAAGATCAAGGCACAATACATTAACTATTTCAGACCACAAATCCACACAGCTTTATGCTCCCGAGTCACTCTGTCCTCCACTAGGTGGCGCTCCATATTAACACAGTTGTTCAGAGTTTCTGGAAAGATAGCCCAGCGATGTCAGCCGTTAAGAGGGTCTTTCTTAAACTTTTGTCTGTCCTTATTTTCAAAGGAGTATGTCTTCGGGAGAAGTCCAAAAAATTAGCTATGCCTCAGAACTCTAAAGACAACCAGTGTCGTAAGTGCCACTGAGAGACAATGTAAAGGTTGAGTGCCATATAGATGCACCGCCTCTCAATAATTAACAACAATAAAATATTGTACTGGTATGACATGGATCCAAAGCCTACTTTCTGTCTTGCTAGAATACCCACACATACGGCTCAAAAATTTTTAGCACTGAAAATCAAATGCAAATCAGTAGACAATCTATTCAGATGCTCCTACAGCAAGAATTAGAGAGAGAGAAAGAGTAGTTGAAAAACAGTCACGGGGGATGAGAAGAGATAAATGAATATAAGAGTCCTTGGGAAAGGGGTGCAGGCGAGAATATGGGAATGGGAGAAAATACTGAAATGAAGAGATCCATTCAGGTCATACCTTGGGCAAAGCATATTTGGGCAGCTTCATCTGGGCAAACGCATTCCTTCGGTAGGACACGTAGTAATGTGGCCGTCCTCCTGATGTCAGCTGGATCATAAACACAAAAGTAAGAGGAGCTATTACAACAGTTACAGGCCATAGAAAAAGAGCCGTGAATGGCAGGGGCTAGCCACCAACCCAACAGTGTGAATGACTATTGTGGACAAATGTAAAGAACTAGAGTTCCATTCAAAAACAACTCATACTGTGTATGTGAGTTGGTCTGAGGCCCAAGCTAAACCCACTGCATGAAAATATAATTCTTCAATTCGCACTGTAGCTCGGGAGCCAGGAAACATTTTCAGTTTCTTTCTTCTCCTTCTCCCCTTCTCCTTCTTCTTAATGACACAAGCCTCAGAGTATATTAGCTTCATGTCCATCAGGAGTCCCCAGCTGCCTAGCCCAAGACCACCGGGGAGGAGACAGGTCCCCATGTTGTACCAGAAGTTAACGGCCTGGGTCAGACAGTGCCAGAGCAGGAGCCTCTCTCCTCTGAGCACTGAACGCCATCTGATGCCGTCACACTGAGGCCTCTGAGTAGGTCTCAGGTACAACAGTGCTGCTGACCCATTAGACAAAACCTGGCCAGGGTCGTGGTCCAAAATCACTCTAGAGCTCTCTCTCCTAGAAGAGAACGGGGAGCTACCTCCTCCAAGTCTGTCCGGCACACACAGCCCAGTGAACCCTGTGGATGCCAGGGAGGTCAGGAAGGGGTGTGGTCTCTACTCCAGCATGAGCGCTGGAGTATCGAGGGCTCCATGCCAATCTCTCTCCTCTGCAGCCACTCTTGTTTCCCAGGTTTATTGAGATATTATTCACATACAACATATGTGAGTTTAAGAGGTATGTGACGATTTGATGCATGCGTATACGGCAGAATGATCACCACCTCTAGCCCCTCACTTAATTATGACATTCTGTATGTGGCGATATCTTTAAAAATCTACTGTCTTGACAACTGTCATGTCTATAATACAGTGTTGTTAATTATAGTCACTATGCTGTATGTTAGATCCCCAGAAGTTCTTCATTTAGCAGTTGGAAATGTGTCCCCTTTGACTCACATGTCCCCACCTCCCAATCCCCGGCAACCACCATAACTCTCTGTTTCTGTGAGCTGGTTTACCATATAAATATCTGGACTTGGGCTATCAGCTGGGGTGTGCATACTCAGACTAGATCAACACATACTCTGGGCGAATGTCCACCAGACACATAAAAGAGAGGCCAGAAGTTATCACTTCCCCATCATGGGGCCAGATCACCTCGCAGTCCTCATGACGGGTTATAGGACCGTGTTCACAGTGGCATGGGTACAAAATATATGACACTCTAAACGCAGAAGTGAGTCCCATTTTTCAGTTATATATGGATTATAAACCACTATTAGAAAGCAGAAAAGGTTCCTGGGAGAAACGGTGGTAGGGAAATGAATTATAGATCGAATCAACACATGTAGCCATTTTAATGTCACTTGATAATTTGATGTTGAAGTTACCAGAGTACTCATTACTCACTTCCCTAAGGAAAACTGATGTGTGTGTGTGTGTGTGTGTGTGTAGTCATTTGTGGAACATTTTAAGAGTACATACACATAGGCTGATGTTGGGTATTTTGAACATTTGCTTCCTCAAAACATGGGATTGAATATTCTGATTTATGATTTCTTCTCCAAATACATACAACAGTGTTTAGAATGTGTCTCAATCATAGGGAAATCATGTTTGTCTATGTATATATAGTATGTGTGTATAAATAAATATAAAAACATACATATTTGATATATAAACTATGCAGATATAAACTATTTAGCAATTGTACCTTTCCACTCTTAGTATGGGAAGCAATACATGAAGTCTGTCCAAACTTAACTAGGAACTGAAGATTTATCGAAACAAGCCTAGAATTTTCCTTAAATGCTGCAAAGAAGCAAAGCATACTTGCTCCCTGTCTCTTCTAACCACTCAACCACAAAAGGTTTGCCACTCTCTTCAGGGGTGAAAATCCTGGCTGGGCACATCTCATCTCATCTAATTCTTATCCTAATCACAGTCAGAGCATGACAATAATGGCTGATTACTCTGCACCTCACCTCTGCCTCCCACCACTTCCCGCTACCCCCCAGCTTTCTGTTCCCATCTGTTTCTCTATTTTTAAGGTGACTACTGGGGAACAGGCTGATTGGCTGACTATTCAGATAGGAAGAGACTGACATATCCGCTCAGGCCCATGAAGGCAGAGGAGGGGGGTGAACAGAAGTGTGCATCATTCGGAGACAACCTTCGTACACTACCCAGGGCCTCCATGACTCCATATTGATAAGGTCCTCCAGACGTTGCCCAAAGGAGCTAATTAATATTCCATTAGCATAGAAGCTTCGACCCTTGGTAATGTTCCTTTTGTCAAAAAGATAATGATATTTTTTCCCCCATTTTCACTCTTAAGGGAGTGTACGCAGGGAAAGGAGGCTGCAGTAGGACAGAAGGAGGAAAGAGAAATGTCTGAGACAATCAGCCGAAGTGGATCTTTCATACCTGAACAAACACATAATCATCCTGGACAATCAAAGAGTCTGGGTCAATGTAGCCTGGGAAAGGTTTATTTCTGTTGGCCTCTGTGCAGTTCTGCATTCGGCAAGTCAGGTATTGTGAATCTGAAAAAAACAAAAAACAAAAAACGGGGTGGGGGACGTATACTCACAGAGTACTGGACTTGGAGTGGACATTTTCCATTTCCTTTGCTATCTCCAACTCTTTAAACAAACCTCACATTCTTCAATCGCATTATCCCTCCCATTGTTATTGTTAAAAGTAGTATCGCTATTATTTTACTCACTTTCTAGCAACACCATCACCACCATGCCCCAATGTCTCCAACAAATCTTGCCATCCTGGAATACTAAATTCTCATTAATTAATTCTCCCCTCTCTAAATGAAAGCATTTTTAAAAACTGGCATTAATATTTGTGATTTTATAGTTTTGTTCTTTTGTTTGTTTCTCTTTGGATTTGTGGGCTCTTCCTCTGCACTTTGACCTTTGACCAACAGGCAGGGAAACACGGACATACAAGCAATCACCAGTCATCTCATGCAAGAAGTGCACTTACAAACAGAAAGATTCCATATCAAGATAAAGGCTTTTCTTCTATTAATACTTAGAAGTGAAACAGAATAGGGGCGCCTGGGTGGCTCAGTGGGTTAAAGCCTCTGCTTTTGGCTCAGGTCCTGATCTCAGGATCCTGGGATCGAGCCCCACGTTGGGCTCTCTGCTCAGCAGGTAGCCTGCTTCCCTTCCTCTCTCTCTGCTTGCCTCTCTGCCTACTTGTGATCTCTGTCAAATAAAGAAATAAAATCTTTTTTAAAAATTAAAAAAAAAAGTGAAACCAAATAGAGAGGAGATTCCTGTATCCAAAGCTCTGCCCTCATTTAGAGATAAGTAAACTAATCCCACATGAGACTCAACAGCAGATGGCAAACCTATCAGTTATAACTCCTACATAGATCTGATACCTATTGCTTGGGAGTACTTTGTATCAAGGAGGATATCTTGGTTTTCCGACTCTAACTATTCTGCCCTACTAATAAGATGTCACTTCCTTACTTAAAACTCCTTTTGCCTCATTGCATTTAAAATAAATTCGAACCCTCTAGGACCCATCACTCAAATTTCCCCACATGTTAATCTCTTCTTCTCTCTGTGACTCTTCTCATCTGGCCTCCACTATTTTCGGGAATGTGGCCAAAACTTCTACCATGTAAGAGACTTTTAAACTGTATTCCCTCTGCCTGAACTGCTTTTCTCCAGGTGGTTCACAAAGAAAGTTCTAGATTTCAGCCCACTCTTACTTCAGAGGGTCTTCCATGACTACTGTTGATCAACACCATTTTGTTAATTACCTTCATGGAATTTACCACAATATAAAATCACCTCTTCCTTATTTATTTCTGCCACTCTCCATTAGAATATACTCTCCTTGAGGACTGCTTTTTCTGTTTGTTCACGAATGTGCCCCCAGGTTCTAATACTGTTCCGGCATATACTGGGCAGTAAGTAAATACTCACTGAAATGTGCCTCTTTTTTTAAAATTTTGTGTGTGTGTGTGTGTATGTGTTCCAGAATTCATTGTTTATGAACCACACCCAGTGCTCCATGCAATATGTGCCCTCCTTAATACCCACCACCAGGCTCACCCAACCCCCCCCCCCCCTCCCCTCCAAAACCCTCAGTTTGTTTTTCAGAGTCCACAATCTCTTATGGTTTGTCTTCCCCTCTGATTTTCCCCAACTCACTTCTCTCCACCTCCCAATATCCTCCATGTTATTCCTTAATGCTCCACAAGTAAGTGAAACCATATGATAATTGACTCTCTCTGATTGACTTATTTCACTCAGCATAATCTCTTCCAGTCCCATCCATGTTGATACAAAAGCTGGGTATTCATCCTTTCTGACGGAGGCATAATACTCCATTGTATATATGGACCATATCTTCTTTATCCATTCATCTGTTGAAGGGCACCTTGGTTCTTTCCAAAGTTTGGCGACTGTGGCCACTGCTGCTATGAACATTGGGGTACAGATGGCCCTTCTTTCCACTAAATCCGTATCTTTGGGGTAAATGCCCAATAGTGAAAATGTGCCTCTTGATTGAAATATGTATATTTTGAATGAAAAATAAAATTGTTTTATTTATTTATTATTTATTTTTGATGCTGAACAAACAGATGACTTTGCTTTTAGGACATCAGGGATATATACAGATATTCACTCTTCCCAATTAAAAAGAAATCAGGAGATGAAGACTTACATGAAATGGGGGTATGCAATAGTATTGGGTTGGATCAAGGATTCACTAATGACTTCCTTAAGGAAATTCCAGGATAATCTTCACTTAACAGAACTTGGGTAAACCTGGACTCTAAAAGGAGGACCACTAGGGGGCGGCATGCACATTTGCTCCATCTGACCAATGGCTGATGTAATTACTGATAAGCTCTTCGGACACTGTGGAGGAGCTTTATCTACAATATTCCTTCATCCCACTGCCATCTGTGGGAATTGGACTGGTTCTGAAGCACTTTATGCCATCTAGTCCCGGTGAAACCATCGCCAGAGATAATTAAAGAAGAGCCACTACTCCCTCTTAATTATCTCCTTTTGCAAACACACTTAGAGTTTTATTTTGGGACATAACTCAAAATCTTCTCGAAGACAATTTCTGGGACTCAGTCCTTCTCCACCACTACGGCACACAAAATCTTTACCTCACAATTTTCACACTCTATAGACCCTTCTAGAACTTTTAATCAACTTCTGTTTTTCTAAAGGTAGCTTGGGGTCACAGAAACAATGAACATTGGCAGCTAGGAGACCTGGGCTTGAGTTCTGCTCTGGTCACTTCCTGGCTGCGTAGTTCAAAAGAAATTATTTCATCCCCCTGAGTCTTGCCACCCAAATGGGGATGCCAACGTCGACTCTCTTACAGTTTGGCCCCTAGAATTAACTGAAATAATGTATATGCTACATGTTTTTAAACTCAAATGTGTACAGATCTCAGTTATTATCAATAATGGTAATATTCCTATTTCCTCTTTTTCTACCTTTCACAGTGATGAAATCAGTTTGAGAGTACATAGGAGGTCCCTTAAAAGGGTAAACTGAATTTGCTTATTCAGTTATGTTTCTCTCTCAGTTATGTTTTGTTGGTGACCTTCCAATACCCACTCTTCCCAGCCTCTTTAATGGAAAAGCCAATACTTCATCTATAGGCTTGTCCTTCCTCCTGTGTGACTGGTAAGTGCTCACATGCAAGGATTAATCCTTTTTGGTCTTAAAGGGCATTAAAACCCTGTAGCAGGACACAAGAAGAGAGGGAGGTCTTTTAAGGGGCTGTAGGGCAGAGACCAGGAGCTGCAGCAAAAGACCCTCTTCCGTCTCTCTAGAACGCTGTGTCCAATGTGATGTTTGGCACTGCACTAGCCTTCTTTTTACACAGAAGGGACTGTCTTACAGTTAAGCTTACATAATGAGTGTGCAAAGAGATGGAAAGGACCTATTTCCTGATGACACTGAGTTACTGATTGTACTGAGCCCAGAGCTACTATTTCTCTGTGCTTGTTTTGTGAGATAATGAATAAAAACAATGATTAACCAAACTGAATCAAAGGTTCTTGATTAAGAGGTCTTGGTCTTCAAATTACAAATACAACTTCCAATCAGAACTGCTTGGACTGCCACCTAATGAGGACTTCTTGATAAACACACAGTGCTTGTTTTATTTATAATGGAGTCTAAGAGTTTCTTTCTTAAGACTTTAACCTCCTTTTCAAAGGTTCCTGAACAAGCACAAGATAGAAAATATAAAGATACACTTTTCATATTTATAACTCAACTTTTCAGAATTTCTGAATCTAAGGGATTCAGGAAGGAAATAAAAGAACAGGGAAACTAACATTTGTTGAGCATTTATGTACCAGGGACTCTGAAGCATTTTCACCTTTATTTCATGCATTTAATCTTCACAGTACTACAAGGTATAATAAGATATCAACTGATTTTTTAAATAAAGAGGATGGAGCTCAAAGAGATCATGATTTACAGAAATGGCATTATAGGATTCAAACTTGGTTGGCCCCAAGGCTTTTATTTCTACAACTCTACATTGTGTGAAAAATGCCCATGAACTGGGAGCCAATATTTGTTATGCATATTTTGGCTTTGAGCTAAATATCAATGCATATACCTAGATACAAAAGAAAGACCAGTAAATCTGTATTTTTGTGGGGTAATTCAGCAATATGGCTCAACATCCTTGAAAATGAGATCTTTCAACCTCATGTTCATTTCTGAGACTTCTACCCAAGGAAATAATTAATGATCTATGAAAAGAACTAGCTATTTCAATATTCATCAGTGTTATTTATAATAAAGAAAGAGAGAAGAAGGGCCAAAAATGGGGGAATAATTTTTGAAAACTTCAGAACATGCACAGTTTGTGATTAAAACTGTGCTTCCAAAGAGTATATGAGTATTTACAGAAGTGCTTAATACATGTCATACAATAAAAACGGGTTACCAATTAATAATATTGTATCAATGTTAATTTCTTAGTTTGGAAAACAGACCTTGGTTGTTCAAGATGTCAACATTAGGAGAAGCTAGGTAAAGCTATATTGTCTTGGTAACTTTTCTGTTTACCTAAAAGTATTCTAAAATAAAAGTTTTTTTAAAAGTAGGTTACCAGTATGTGTATCAACCAGATTCTGTACAAGTTGTATATATAGATATCTACATATGTATGTTTGCACTGGAAAAATGAATAAAAGAAATACAGGAGATGTCAAGAGTAGTATACAGGCAGTGATGTGAGAGAGGGAGACAGCTCTGTGTGCAAATCCCTGGTCAGCATTTCTCAGCCAGGGGGTGGAGGGGGCGTGGTCCACAGTGGGCTTGAGATCTGTCCCTCGAGAATTAAAGAGCCATCTCTTATTCCTCTGCTTTTCCATCTTCCTCCACTCACCATGACATGTACTGAGGTGGGGGGACTACAAGCAATACGTGCTGTGAGTCTATTCTCCAACTAAGAAATACAGAGGGTTCAGCTGGGTGATACAAGGAAAGCCCCAAGAAGGGGTCTTAAAAGCATTTCTTGC